ACGAGGAGGAGGAGGAGGAGAAGGAGGAGGATGAGGGCGTGGAGGAGTAGAAGGAGGAACAAGAGGAGGAGGAGGAGGAGGATATTCAGTGTACGCCCAAGGTGCATCAACGATGTTGCAATAAACCCTCCCTCCAAGTTGCCTCTTCATCGGTCACGACGAGAATCATTTTCACTGCTGGAAGTGCCCCTTCGGAAGACAACCGTCTGGGAATACGCAATCGTGCCAGAACACCACTCCTTGGACTTCAGCGCCGCGAATCAACTTTACGGTTGCGTCCTGACGATCCCGCTTCGTGCAATAATACTTTGTCTCACACCGCCAATCAACGTGGCCGTTGCGCCTTGACAGCCCTGTGTCGTGCCAGAACACCGGTCTTTGGACGCTAACCATGAGAACCCATTACCTTGTTACAGGCTTTGAAGACGATTGTGACGCGGCGCTTTGGAGAGAACCGCAGTTTGAACAAGAGCCGCCCTCCAGACATGAAATTATCGCAACGCTTTTAGCACGGTTGTGCGCGGCGCCCTGGCGAGAACCACACTCTGAGCAAGAGCCGCCCGCCAGATGTGAAGCTCTCGCGCACTTTTGAGACGAGCGTGCGCGGCGCTGAGGCGAGAGCCTCGCTTTGAAAACCACCCGCCTTCCATCCGTGAAGCTCTCGGACACTTCTGGGACGAACGTGCGCCGCGCCAGGGCAAGAGCCACATTTTGAAAACGAGTAGCCCTCCACCCGTGCAAGACGAGCGTGCGCGGCGCTTAGGCGGTAGCTGTATTTTGAATACCATCCGCCCTCCATCCGTCAATTTTTTTGCGAACTTTTCGGGCGACTGTGCGCAACGCCAAGACGGGAGACGCATTTTGAACGCCACCCGCCCTCCACCCGTGAAGCTCATGCAAACTTTTGAGGCGAGTGTGCGCGGCACTGAGGCGAGAGCCATGTTTCCAAAACCATCCGCCTAGTATTCGTGAAATTGTTCAGGATCATAAAAGCGTGATGAAGTCTCAGGCGAAACGCCAGGGCTGCCCTACCAACACGTCTCGGGGTGCGACAGGGAGGAGTTGTTTATAAGGAAGAGGTATGGAGGAGGAGGAAGAGGAGGAGGAAGAGGAGGAGGAGGAGAGTGATTCGCAGGAGGAGAGTAACGAACCGAAGGAGGACGAGGAAAAGGAGGATCATGATTCGCAGGAGGAGGGGGAGGAGGAGCATGAGGAGGAGAATGAGGCGAGGTGGACTGCCGGCGCGCAGGCTTTTCGCACGCTGGCCCGCCGCCGCCGCCGCGGAGCCCAGTACAGCCTGGGCCTGCTGCGCTCATGCCAGGCGGGGTGCGCGCGGCGTCGTTGCGCGCGCTCGCCCGCGCGCGCGCACCGGCGCAGTTTTTCGGGGGTGGTCATCGGCCTGTCAGAGACGGGGGTCAATGCAAATGGGGGTCAGCCAGAGCGCCGCATCTTGCAGGATCCTGCAGAGCCAGAAGTGCTTTGACCAGGGCTGGCGCGCCGGATCCTGCAGGAGCTTGCAGAATCTTGCAAAGAGCAACTGACCCGAGTCTGCATAGACCCGGATCAGTGCGTCCCCGAGGTCAAGAGGGGGGTGATGATTGGGGAGTGGATATCAGGGCTAGGGCCATGATGCGGTCGGGAACGTTTGGATTGCGTGGGGCTTCACCGATTCTGGCCCACCACGCTTCGGCGCGACACGCCAATCATCCACTTCGCGGTCCCGAGGCGCCAGCGTCCCGAGCAGTTCCCAGCCTCCCACCCCGCGGAGCGCAGCCGCACGCTATCTGCTCGCAAGAAATAGCGCATCGCCGGGGCCGCCGCCGCGACACGCTGAGCAAAAGTTTCTGCCCGTAAGGGGTGGTGGATATCGTGTCCGAAACCAGTGGATCTCCTCGGACCTCATGGCCCCCTCTTCTACTTCCGTGTGCTCCTTCGCCCCCTCTGGGCCGCGCACGTGCCCCAGACCATACAATCTGCGCACCCCCCTCCTTGCCGCCCCCCCTCTTGGACGCCCCCGAGTCTTGCTCGCGCCCCTCGCTCCGCACGCTCGTGCCTGGCGCGCGCACGCGCACGTCTGCGTTCCCGTGCCCGTGCCCTTCCGGTGCGCCTGTTTTCTCGGTGCTCAAGGCCGCCTGCGCGCTCCCCCCGGCCGGGCGGCGAAGGTCCTCTGCGCACGAGGCCCCCTCCTTTCGGGAGGGAAAGGAAACACGCAGACACAATCCATCGTCGATTCCCCAGAAAGTATGGGAAGATATGGGAAGTGGGGGGGAAGACGAAAGCCCCAAACATATAGGAAACTATGGGGAATAGTTTTGTTTGTGTGTACTTCTTTGTGTGTCCATGGGCGCCTTCATCCTCGAGTTCCCCTTCCGCGGCCGCCCTCCTCTTTTCCTTGTTGCCTAGTGTGCCCCTGCCCCCGCGCGGCTCGCTGCTTCTCCGAAACGCGTTGGCGACCGCCCTCGCTGCTGATCAGAGATCCTGCCGCGCACCCGTGAGCGTGTGCGCACGCCATCTGCGCGTACGCGGCGGCGGCAGCGGAGCGAATGCGTGCTCTGTTGGCGTGGGGGCGTGCGAGCTCGCAGGCGCGGACGCGACAGAGCGCACGGTCTCTGAGCGTTGGCGCGGGCCTGCACGCGCGCGAGCACGCTCGCGCGCGACTTCGCGTGGGTACAGATACGTTTCCACACACATACATACATATACATATATATATATAGAACAGCTATATATATATACACACGTATTCTATATATATATATGTATATACACATACACATTTATACCGTATATATATATATATATATATCTGTGTCTAATATCCAGCTGCCTGCGGCAAGTCCCGCCACCGTGCCAGCCCAGCATTCTTGGTGGAAGCTGTTCGAGGGGGCACGGGACGCCGTCACGTGTGACACCTCGTGCTTCCAGGCTTGGCAGAGCCGTGATAGGGATGATGAGGACTATGATCTTGATAGGGGTGATGGGGATGCTGACGATGATGTTGCTGCTGCTGCTGCTGATGATGATTATCCGTGATGGTGAGGGTGATGATGATGGTGGTGATGATGACGACGGCGTCGATGATGATGCTGCTGCTGATTATGATGGTGATGATGGTGATGAAGAAGATGATCATGATGGTGGTGGTGGTGGGGAGTGGTGGTGGTGATGATGAAGGTGGTGATGCTGATGACGACGATGATGACGATGACGATGATGATGATGATGCTGATGATGATGCTGATGATGATGATGATGATGATGGTGATGCTGATGATGATGACGATGATGATGACGATGATGATGACGATGATAATGCTGGTGCTGATGCTAAGGATGAGGATGATGATACGGATGATGCTGATGATGCTGATGATGTTGAGGAGGATTATGATGATCGATGGTGATGGTGCTGCTGCTGATGATGCTGATGGTGATGCTGATGGTGATGCTGGTGGTGATGCTGCTGCTGATGATGATGCTGCTGATGATGATGATGGTGATCAGGATGGTGCTGGTAATGACTATAGTGATGCTGCTGCTGCTGCTGCTGCTGATGATGATGATGATGATGATGATGATGATGATGATGAGGTTAATGATGTTGCTGTGGTTGTTGTTGGTATTTGTGTTGTTGTGGCTGCTGTCGTTGTTGTTGCAGTAGCTGTGCTAGTTGTTGCTGCTGTTGTTGTCATTGTTGTTGTTATTGTTGCTGTGGTTGTTGTGATTGTTGTTGTTGTCATGGTTGTTGTTGTCATGGTTGTTGTTGTTGTTGTTGTTGTTGTTGTTGTTGTTGTTGTGGTTGTTGTTGTTGTTATTATTAGTGTTGATGTTGTTGTTGGATGTTCATTTCTAAAGAATAATTGCCGTTTGCCCCCCCGCCTGGTAATATTTGTTTTTCAATTCAAGTGCTCCTCCTGGGGCTGGCACCCTGCCTTTTGTTTGAACCGTCTTGCGAGCTTCAGGAGGGGCCCCTACTACTTTGAGCCTGCCCCTGTGAAGTTCCATGCTTGGAAGCCGATCTGCGAGTTGGCCTCGCAGCGGCACTCTGGTCTTAAGTCGGGCCTGTCCCTCTAAAGGAGGAAGATTCAAAAGTAGTCAAGAATTAGTCAGGGGACGAGTTCTCCATTTTTGAGTATTTGGGGATTATTTTTGGACAATTTTTAATTTTTCGTCCAAAATCCCCCTGTAGGGGGACACGCCCGACTCAACTCTGGTCCAGACGCTCCCAGTGAACGCGCGGCCGCTCGCCGGCTGCTGCGAGGGCGCGCCCCGTGCGACAGAGGCGGGGCGCTTCGCCCCTGCTGCGCCCTTCAGATCTCGTCTCGTCGCCCGAGTCCATGTAGAACTGATCTCAACTTACCTGGTAAACCATAGTGCTATCTTCGGCAGCACATGTTTTGATTTAGCTGTCGCGGGACTTATAGAACACATTCGAGAGAGCCAGCACGATCGCTGCCAAATCTATAAACACATGTCGTGTCGTTGCCAAGCGTGTCGGCAAATCTATAGCCCGCAGTATAAGGACGTGGCCACATCCCGCTGTCCAGTGGTTCCCGAAGGAGCACCCCGAGCGCGTGCTGTGCGCGGGGGTTGCCCCGCCCCCACTGTGACACCGTGTTTTGGCCTGCCGCTCCAGCGGAGCGCGATGACCTAATGGACGCCACTTCGCTGCCGATCTACACCGTCGGGGCTTATTCGCGTGGATCCGTCGACCCACGTGCCAGGTCGGAGCGTTCTTCGTGGAGGAGGAGGGGGGCAAGCGTTTGCGCCTCATCCGCGATGCCCGCCCCGCCAACGAGCTCTTCGAGGCTTCGCTTGGCGTTAAGTCGGGCCTGTTCCTCTACAGGGGGAATATTCATACATAGGTAAGACATAGTCAGGGGATTATTTATGGAATATTCATGGGCATCTTTTGGGTATTGTTGCGGTATTTTCAGGTTTTCGCCCAAAATCCCCCTGTAGGGGGACAGGCCCGACTCAAGCTTGGCGTCGCGCTCCTCAGCTCCCAACGGCTCGGGTGGGGCTGGGGCCCGCCGCGGGCGCGGGCCCGCGGGGGCCCGCGGCTCGGGGGCGCTTGTGGGATGGCGGGCTGCGCCTGGGGCTGACGGACGTGAAGGACTGCTTCCACAGGCTGCGCCTGCCAGACTGACCCGCGGAGCTCTTCGCGCCGCCCACCAAGCCACCCGAACCCAACCCGAGGGCCCCGACTTGCCCTCCATTTCCAGTCGGGGGGGGGTCGGGTAACATGGAAAAATCATGTATGAAGCCCGTGCTCCCCCCCAGCCCGAAATTCGGGTCTTCGGGTTGGGTTGGGGTGGTCTGGTAGGTAGTCATCTTCAGCCTCCCTGAGGTCCCCGCCTTCGTGCTGGGCGTCGAGGGCTGTCGCTGGGGGGGTCGGCCGCTGGCTCGTCATGATCTGGCGAGCCCCTGCTGTGGGGTCATCCCCATGGGTTTGACGAGAGCGTGGTGATGACGGTCTGCCCCGAGCTCCGCCCCGAACGACCGCGCCCGCCCCCGATCTTCGACCTGAGGCTGGGCGGGGCCGAGGCCGCGCACTGCGCTTACACGGGCAACTTCGGCGTGGCCTCGGCCTCCAGGCCCGCGGTGACGGACGCGATCGGCCAGCTTGTGGAGGGCTTCGGCGCCAGTGGCCTGCTGCCCCACGAGAACTCTGCGGGCGCCGAGGCCGAGGCGCTGGGGGCCGAGGTGCCGCGCTCGCGCTGGAGGGCCAGGGTCACCCAGAAGCGCTTGTGGCTGTCCGCCGGGCCCTGTTCAAGCGATCGCAAACGTGGATCCAGGCGGTGTGGATTAGCGACGGGTCCCGTTTCCACGGGAAATCGCGGATTTCCGCCGCTGAGCGAGGCGGCGCCGACCGCATTTGGAGAGGGCACCTCCCCCCCGATCCATGCATGTGGCGACCGCGCGCCACATCCATGGATCGCTAGTGTATGTTTTCGCGCCCCCGACTTGTCAGGGCCGCCGCGGCGCCGGCGCCTCGCGGGCCAGGCTGCGGAGGCCCTCGTCTGCCATTGCGCGTTTGCCGGGCTGCTGGCGCGCTGGGCCCTCGGCGCGCTCCGCGCCGTGCGTGCTTGCAGCCGCAAGTCCTGCGCGGGGGCCCGCCGCCTCGTGGCCCGATGCCCGCGGGCGGCGGGAGACGCTCCGCCGGTCGCTGCTCGTCCTGGAGAGCGACTGGGCTCACCGCCCACCAGACCACCCCAACCCAACCCGACCCGAAGGCCCCGACTTGCCCTCCATGTCTAGTGGGGGGGTCGGGGAACCATGAAAAAACACGTGCGGATCCCGTGACCCCCCCAACCCGACATTCGGGCAAAATTGGGTTATTCGGGTTGGGTTGGGGTGCTTTGGTGGGTAGTCGTGGGCGCTGCAGTGGATCGACCTGGGCGTGCCGACGGACATCAGCCTGGGTGCGGGCGCCGTCTCCGCGGCCCACAGGCCGCGGTCGCTGGTGGCCGGGGCTGGCCGGCCGCGTGCAGGAGCGGGCTCGCTCTTGCGCGCGGTCGCGTCGGCTCCAGGCCGGGAGAGCGCGGCGCGGCTGGGGGCGAGGGGTCGGCCCTGGCGGCGGCTGGCCCCTGAGGTGACGGCGGCGAGCGGGGGCTCGCGGGCCGGGCTGTCGAAGCGGAAGGCGGCGCCGCGTGAGAGGTTGACCCAGATTTTTCCGAGGTGCCGGCCGCGGGGCTGGCGAGCAGCCGACGGCGCGCTAGGCAAAATCCGGATTTGTAGCATGAAGAAGGTATTCTAATGAGGGAAGCCGGATCACTAGTACTGGGCACCCGTCGAGTGGCCCTATTAGTGTTCGGTGCCGCCTGCCGCCGGCTGCTTCTGCTGGGTAACGCGTCAGCGGTGTTGGCGTCAAAATGGAGTCGACCCGTCTCGTTCAGGCTCGCGGGTCCCGCGCGCGCTGCCTGGCCCGCGACCCGAAAGCAATGATCAGGTGGGTTCCCTCGGAGCTCAACCCAGCCGATTACGGGTCTAAATCAAGGTCTTGGCGAGAACGGGGCCAAGGGGCCCCTCGGTGCGCTGTGCGTCGATGCCCTTCCCGCTGCGGGGTCCGTTTGCATGCCCCCCCCCCCGCTGGTCGAAATGTTGATGTTTGTCCAGGCCGGTGCGTTCGAGCCTTCTGCGCTGCCATTGTGATCGCGCGGGGGCCTGACATCCTCCGCCCCTTCTGCGGCCCCAACCCCCCGCGGAGCTCGGGCCGCCCCTCGCCGCGAGCCGCGTGCGGAGGCAACTCCCTGGAAGCGAGGCTTCTGGCGAGGCCCTGGCGCCAACGGCGAAGCGGACTGGGCTGCCGATGCGGGCTGGGCCAGCGCCGGCAGGGCGCCGGGCGGGCCGAGCCTGTTAGCTGCATCGGCGCAGTCCCGCCCGGGCCAGGCCGCGGGCGGAGCAGGGCCGCCGGGGAGTCGTCTCGGCGGCCCAGCAGTCCATGGAGTGGAGAAGCCGCCGTGCGCTGGCTCTGCCGCCTGCGCCCGGCCCCCCCGAGTCGGAGACGGTGCTGGAGGCGCCCCCCCCCTGGCTGGAGGAGTCCAGCCGCGGGCGCCGAGGAGCGGCGATGCCGGCCGCGCCTCCGACGGGCCCGCGGGCGAGCCCATCGGCGAGCGGCGGGTGCGGGAGCTGCGCAGTCGAGCCAGTCGACGGCAGAGGTCCTGCAATGCCGAGGCTCTCCAGGACGACCTTGCCAGCGCGGGCCGGACCTTCCCGGGGGGGCCTCGGCGTTCGAGCCCGCGAAGCGCGTTTGCGCGATGAGTTGGGTAGCTTCATCGCGTTCTGCAGCGCGGGATCGAGGCGCCCGCTCAGGGCGCCCGCCCAGGTCGACTAGGCCATGGTGCAATGCGTGAATGGGTTGTTCTTCGCGGGCCACGAGTCGGCCAAGGGTGGCCAGGCCGCGCTGCTGCGCAGGTTCCCAGAGTACTCCAGGCAGGGCGGGTCTCAGACGCCCGGGTTCTGGACGTGCTCTTGGGCTGGTGCAAGCTGGCGCCCGGCCAGAGCCGCCGCGCGCGGCCGCTGGCTCCTTGGCGCGGGCTGGCCTGGCCCGTAGTGGTCCGGGGCGCCCTGTAGATGGCGATATTATTGCTGTTGTTCCTCTCGAGCTGTTTTCGACCCAGTCACTTGCTTGCCCGAGGGGCAGCGCCGCTCCCCCGTCGCCGGGGGCGCGCCGATTGCGGTCGCTTCTCTGCTTCCCGGACGACGAGCCGCTTGGGGGCAAGGCAGGTTTGGCCGACGTCGGGATGATGTGGGCAGCGTCTGGCTGCAGCTTAGTGCGCCCATCGAGCTCGTGATCGGAGTTCAGCATCGGCGTGGCGCGTCGGTGTAGGCCTCTCGAGGATCTCAAAGAGGCCAGTGGGCGCGCGTCAAGTCCATGCAGAGATGCGAGAAGGCCGCGCGTCCAGATCAGAGATGGACCCTGCTGCCAGGGCCGCTCCGCGACGCGTTGACCGTCGGCGAACGTCGTGTAGAGGGGCTCCTGCTCAGAAAGGATGCCACGGAGATTTCCCTGTGGGGCAAGGTGCGAGGCGGCAGAAGTGCATGCTCGATTTGTCCTCGGGATCGGGCTCTATCGGGCATGCCGCGTTGCGGCGGGGCCCCACTTGCCATGGGTGTGATTCCCAGCGCAGGCCCAGCGAATATTTGACGCAGTTGTCTGTTCGTCGCGGCATCGAACTGGCCGTTGTGCGAGGGGAAGTGGTAGCTGCCTGCCCGGGCCCCCCCCCCCCCCGTGCGCGTCTTGGAGCGCCGCGGCAGACCGCGGCCGACGGCCAGGGCGGCCCAGAACTTTCCAATGTGTTTTCCCAGGTGCCACCGATTACGCCCGCAGCGGGATTGCATCAGGTAGTGCCTGTTTCTCGGTGGCCTTCAAGCTAATGCGAACCATGCCCGTCGCCGAAGTTCCCGCTGTGCTTGGGCGCCCAGTGAATTGTTAAATTTGGCGCGCTCCCCAGCTGCAGGCCTCGGCGCAGAAGATCGGGGCCAATTTTGGGGTGCTTGGCCAATGTCATTCCGGAGCTCGCCGGGCGAAGTGCGCGGGGCTGTTTTTTTGGGTGGCCGGTCCTCGAAGCGCGGTCCAGCTCGAGTGTTGCTGCCGCAGTTATCGTGGTCTGTGTTCGGCCTCGGGGGGGGCCCTATTTGTTCCGGATCGGGAAGGCGACGCCAGGTGCCGCGTGGACCTCGCTGGGGGCCGCCGGCCCCCCAAAGCCTGCTGACTGCGCAGCTTCGCCGAACAGCGCGGGCCGCGGCAGTGGGCGAATGCGCATTTTGGAAGCATTGTTAGGAACAAGACGACGCTTTATCAAAGCGCGGAACGGATTTATTGGAGTGCGTTACCGAATGAAAACAAGCCAAGACAGCAATTCGTAAACGCAGAAAGCGTTGCAGTACATTCAAGAATAAATTATCTTAATCCGGGGCCATTTTTGATCCCGGACCTCTTCGCTACCGCGACCCCAATGCAGCGCTTATGGTTCGCTGTTTGATCAGCCGCCAGGCGACGTTGAGGCGGCTCATCTCACGTGGCCTTCCGCGTCCGCCCCGTGGGCCCGCGGGGATCTCGGGCACCCTGTGCGTCTTATAGGCTTCGCCTAGAGGAGCAGCATGAAGTGGGGCAGTGTTCGCCACCCAGTGCAAGCAACCTGTCGGTGCGTGCGCGGGGAGGTTGAGCGAGAAATGGCATGATGTGTCCAGCGGCGTTGCGCCAGGGGGCCACGGGCTCCGCGGGCTCTCCTCGGTCCCCCTCTCCCTTCTTTGCCCCCTTCGCTTCGCCTGCGGTCGGCCCGCGTAGTGAGGGCGATTGACTTCCCAGGGGTGCCCTCGCATCCTTGCCTCTTCGGTCATCTTCGGTTCATCCTTCGCCGCCTTCAATGGCCAGCCCCGCTCGAAGAGCCTCGGCGCGGGCATCCGAGACGCATGCGTCCTCGCCGCGCATCCTTATCGCGCGGGCTGACTGCGCTTTCTAGGTCGTTCTGTGCGTCCTATAGGTATCGCCGCGACGAAAAACATGAGGTGGCAACATTTTCGCCGCCCAATGTCAGTGAGCAGCCTTTTCGTATTTGTTGTGAGCGATCTTATTTAATACTCCCCCAAATCGTGCTTGCACTCGGGAGTTTTTACTTCTCTGCTCTTAGGAAATGGGCCGTGTCGTCGGCTTGGCGGCTATGTATTCGCCGTCGCCGCACCGTCGCCGCTTCGTAGTCGTCCGGGCCTGTTTGTCGGTCGCCGCGCTTGATGCCGCCGTCGCCGCCCCGTCGCCGCCCCGCAAATATTGTGCAACATATCTCGCACAACGTCGATGTCGCCACATAGATTAAACCACGTGCATTGCGCACCACATAGATCGCACGACGTATACTACACCACATTGATTGCAGTACATAGATCGCGCTTCACACACACATATATATACATATATGTATATATATGTATATATTATATATATATATATATATATATATATATATATATATAACAAAAATGTTTTGTGCCACGTCGATTCCACAACATAGTTGCATTCCATATTTTTTCGAAGATAATTAATATTACTCCCCCCCACCCCCGGGAAGATCGGTTCCCCTTTTCTGTATTGTAATTTACATGTCGTTCAGCCCCATCGCCCATCCTAATTCTGAACCCGTACCATGCCAACCTGGCTGGTATGGACCATTCCGCCACCTTCTGCAAAACGTACTATGCGCGCGTAGTCGTTTATCACGTATCGTCAGTTTCCAAGAATTCCTTGCAAATAATGGGACGGAGTGAGCGCGCGCGTTGTCGTCGCGCGCGCATGCGCGCGCATGCTTAAATCCGTAAAACCCATTTTGGTTTCGTAAGGATTTTCGATATCGAGTGTCCAACAAACGTATAACAGACACATGATTTCGCAACACGGATGTTCAACAAAGCTTGTGCGCGCGTTCTTGTGATTTTTAAGGAAGCCGTGGTTGTTCAACACGTTCATAACATGCTACAAATAGGGATTCGCGCGCGCATATCGACATCGTTCGAACGCCCTTGCGCGCGTGCTGTCGCAAGAGTCCTTGGCAAAGAGTGAGACGAGGCGCAAGCGCGCGCGTCGTCGCGCGCGCATGCCGAAATCTGTCAAAAACCTTGGGTTTCGTAAGGATGTAAATGCCGGGTGCCGCGCAACCGTATTAACAAAACGGGGTTTCGCAACATCAGTTTTCAAAAAGGCCTGCGCTCGCGATCTTGCGAATTTGTGAGAAAACATGTTTT